CGAGAGGAGTAGACAGCGGGCCGGTGGAACCGACGAGACAAGGGGGAGCCACCCCCAGAGTCCATCGACCCACCTAACACACACGATCAGGCAGCGACGTCTCAGCCGATGCCAGCGGCCACAAGAGGTGACTTTCGCGGGCAACTTTACATCCTGCAGACGACCGTCAGATATGCCACCTCCAGTCAGCGTGCAAAAGGTACTTACCGAGCTGAACTCATTGATCACCGCTGTGCTCTACGCTCTGCGTCGCTGAACGCGTAGTGACAGGGAAGGTGGTGACGTGCTTGGTTGGTTCAGCTGGTCCATGTCCGCCGAATGACGCTACGGAATGAGCAAAGACGAGGATCAGGGCCACGAGACCGAGCACACATGAAGACGAGACATACCTGACTAGCATCTAGGGCCGTGAGGACAAGCCGGAGGAAGATGTCCGCATATGATGCTGCGTCTACTCGGTGTATGCGCCGAAGAGGTTTGACCAACGGGCAGCATGAGATACAGAGAAGGTGGCGACAGGGATGAGGAGGCATCGTCGTGTGATGCAGGCCTATATACTGCCAGAAGAGCGGGCTGACTGGATGTTCGGGCGGCTGACATATAGATCTTTTCACGGAGGATAACCTGCCCGCCGTATGACGATGCCTAATCAGGCAGGTGCTGTGGTTTGCATGTCAAGATCGTCCGAGCAAGGAGCCAAGATGCAGCGGGCCGCGGCAGGTATGTCCTTCCTTCATTCGTGTAAAACTGTCGCTTACGAGGCCCGAGAGAAAGAAACAGCTGCACTCGTTTGAACCAGGGTAGCAGAAGTTGGAGCGACAGAGAAGAACGGTTGATTGCAAGACCAGACGACTCGCGGTGCGAGAGAAGTAAGATCAAGAGCGCAGCCCAAGTTACTAGCGCTCATCGAATATCCGGCACGACAGCTCCGCGCGCGCGCGCCGGGATGTCCGACGTGTCCGTGGCCGCGAAGGAGCTCATCTGCTTGAACTCAACTGCTCTCACCACCGAACTTACCGCAATACACCTCCATGCCTCGTCACCCACCGCCTCAGCGCCTCAATGGCCACCCAAGGAGGAAGAGGGAACAGCACCAGGTTTGTTTGAGAGGCGCGCACCGCTCTCGGCAGGAACAAAAGCCAAAGCCTCGTGTGGGTGGGCAACACACTCCAGCACTTCCTTTTGTGCTCGAGCGCATCGCCGTCGGCTCCACCTGGTTTCCTCACCAAAGCGGTTCTGTCGGCCATATCCTCGCGCTTTGCCGTTAGTTGCCGTTTGGTAGATAAGCCGCATCCCCCGGAGGTGCCTCGGAGCTGAGAACTTACCTCCACCACTCCGCCACCGACATATTTTTCTGCCGGATCCCACACAATCTTCTTTGCTCCCTGGCTGCGCCTGGGATCCCTCTTTCTTCGCTGTCTTCTGCGACTGTATACTTGGGTGCGATAACCACCTCCTCTCTTTCAGCTTCGACCGCCATCCACCCCAGCCTCGGCCGTACTCACTAACGGGATGCGTCCTCACCTCCCCCTCCTCGCTTTCCTTTTGGTCAACGCCGTGCCTTCCGATGCCAACCTATTCGCACGCGGCACAGAGTCCCTGGCCCGCACAGCGAATCGCTTGCATCACCGCGCCGCCAAACGCAGTGCGGGGCTCGCAAAGGACCTCCGCCGCGCATTCTCCGGGATGTACTATCAGCAGGAGCTCGCTTCGACCGATAGCTCGCAGCGAGTCTACTGTGTCAACAACGCCAGCGGACCTACCCCCTCCGGGAGCGGCTCAAGTAACGCGAACGGTACATCCTCGTCAGCGCGGTCGTCAGCATCCAGCTCCGCGCATGCCAGCTCGTCCGGGACCGCTAAGGCTTCGTCAACAGCTCCATCTCCTTCATCAACCAGCTCAGCGCCATCGAAGTGGAAGCTCGTCCAGTCATACGTGCGTGTCCTTCAATCTCGTCTCCACGCGTTAAGCTCATAGGTTGACCCAGGAAGGAGATTCGTTCTTCGACGGCTGGGACTTCTTCACCGGCGACGACCCGACGCACGGCGTAGTCGACTACGTCGATCAGGGCACCGCAGTACGTCTTCCTTTCTCCCCTCATTTCTCGCCGCTCTAAACCTCCCCCCTCCAAAGCAATCCTCGAACCTCACCTCAATCAACTCGGCCGGCCATGCGATCATGCGCGTCGACACGACGCCCATCATCTCCGGCAACCGCAAGTCGGTCCGGATCACGACGTCCTTCACCTACACCGGCGCCCTCGTCCTCCTTGACGCCGTGCACATGCCCACCGGCTGCGGCACCTGGCCCGCGTTCTGGTCCAACGGCCCGGACTGGCCCAACAACGGCGAGATCGACATCGTCGAGGGCGTGAACGACTACGCCAACAACCAGGCGACGATCCATACCGCGCACGGGTGCACGATCCCCAGCGCGGACAGCGCGAAGCTCGGCATTTCTGGCGACGTCGTCGGGGGCACGAACTGCGCCGCGGCGGAGACGGGCAACGCGGGGTGCGGGATGACCGCGACGCAGAGCAACACCTACGGCGTCGGGTTCAACAGCAACGGCGGCGGCGTGTATGCTAGTGAGTGTCCGGCTCGGCTGGCGTGCCGGACGGAGCGTGGCGGAACTGACATGGATGGATGCAGTGCAATGGGTAGTCTCGTGACCAGACGTTCGGAGCTTTGAGCGGAAATGAAAAAACCGGGACTTTCCGCGCTCCTGAACGTCTGGTGGATCCACCCCCGTGACTCCCCGCTCGGTGACCTGTGTGACTTTCCTGCCTCTCTCCCGACGTGTCCGAGCTGTCTTGTCGCGCGCGCCTGCCTGCTTATCTCGCGACGTCTTTGAACTGCGCCGAGCCTACCGTCTGCTCGACGTCGATACTCCCGTAACCGGTACATCTCTCTGACTCTCGCGAGCAGTTGCTATACATCCCCCATACTCAATTCGTCTGTTATCCTCTGTCTCTCGTATGGGCAGACAGAGGAACTCTTCTAGTGCGCGCCTATGGACCCTCGCGGACCCGAGGCAGAACCCGATGAGCTCCACAACGGATGGGGAGCTCTTTTCAAAGACGACGAGGAGGACGAAGACTACGCCCCGTCCGAGTGCAGCAGCGACCGGCTTTCCGATGCGTCCGACTGGGATCCGATCGAAGCTGCCCCCGAGACTCCCATCCCGCCGATATACCGCCACAACACCCGGGTCATGCGCGAGCGCCTCGCGTTCTCGATTTCCCGCACGCGCACCAGCGTTGTCGACCGCGTTAAGTCAATTTTGGCTGTTATGGACTCCGTAGATATGAATCTCCCCATGCATCTCAGACCCTAAGGTCCAGTACGAGCGGAGCGCTCTTATGGGCAGCGAGGAGCTTCCCCGCATTCTCGAGCGCTGGTACAAGGTCCCTCACGCATCCTCCTCACGACACCATCATGTATGGCCCCAGGGCGCTAGGAAGGCTCTTGAGGAGTTTGCCCTGGAGTGCGTGGAGGAGATTGTTGACTGAGAGCTCGAGCCATTGCGCACAGTACAGGAGGTATGCAAGCTTGTAACTAGGACAGCGTGCAGCCGCATCGCGCACCGAGGGCGCCCTCCGACTTTGTCGGATTACTTTAACGGGGCGTCGGTATGTCACACAGGTCACCGAGCGGGGAGTCACGGGGGTGGATCCACCAGACGTTCAGGAGCGCGGAAAGTCCCGATTTTTTCATTTCCGCTCAAAGCTCCGAACGTCTGGTCACGAGACTATGCAATGGGTGGACAGCGGCATCTCCGTCTGGTTCTTCCCCCGCAACAACATCCCCTCCGACATCTCCGCTGGCTCCCCTACCGGGAACAGCTGGGGGACGCCCATGGCGTTCTGGCCCGCGACGGACTGCGAGCCCTCCAAGTTCTTCAACGCGCACTCTGCCATCTTCGATACCACCCTCTGGTACGTGGCTTCCTTCTTTTGTGCTATCCGCGTTCGCTGATCCGATCTGCCGACAGCGGTGACTGGGCAGGGAATGTGTGGAACGACGCAGGCGCGCCCGGTCAGGAGCAGAGCTGTGCCACTCGCGTCGGTGTCTCGACGTGTGAGGAGTTTGTGCAGAACAATGGAGCTGCGTTCGCCGATGCATGTACGTGTTGCCCCCCTTCTACCCCGAAGTACCCGCCTAACGCTGTTTACCGCAGACTGGGAAGTGAACTATGTCAAGATCTTCCAATAGAGGGCCTCTGAGGGCTATTATTGCCGTTGTTTATTTCCTTTGGGTCCCCGAGTATCATCCCTGGAGGTTCACTGGATTCATGCTGGTCACGATATAGATCACGACATCTCATGGGGGCATTTACGACGTAACATACACGTGTACTCATACCATAGAAGCCATGTAGTATTATTGTATTTCGCAGCGTGCCTCAAGATTCGGATGGGGCAATGTTGGATACGGAGCAATGACCACCTTGATAGCTCTGAGACAGATGAGGCTCAGGGTGATTGCGCTTCACACGCAGTTCAGCACGGCGCATGGCGAGCGGGTCCCATGTGTGGTGTCTTGTTCAACATAGCATACTACTGCATACATGAGGGGGCCGTTACGTGCTGCGTCGCCGCCGCCGAAGCGGACGTATGATGGGATGAGGAAAGAAAGAAGACCGAAAGCGATAGCAGGCAGGATAGCGAGGTGCTAATGGAGCTCATCGGGTCTATGTGGGACACCCTTACGGTCAACACCCGCTCGCTCCAAATCGTGACATGGGTGCATACCTTCTGGAAACCGATAGCAGCGGCCTTCTCGCGGAAGCACTGACGGCAGAGGTCAAGACCGTACTTGCGGATGAGACCAGCCTGGTGCGCACAGAGGCGGCTGTGGAACCCAGTATCAGCATACGTCCCAAGGACACCCTCCCTTGCTGCCCAGATCATGTCTGTGCTCCAGCAGAGCTGCCCTTCCCAGGGACAGGTCCCTGTGGTAAACAAGAAGGAAGACGGATGCTCACCACTGACGGCTGCCCTTGCCGAACTTGCGGGGGCGAGAGAACCAAACGGCGTCGTGGGTCATTTTGGATGGTCTTGAGGAGCGGAAGAACTGCAAGATTGATCGAGAACAGTTAGGTGAGAGCGAGTTCAGCCGTAAGCAACACTGTACGACACACCTTGTCCGGAGGATGAGCGGAGGCCGGTGTCGATGGGCGCGACGGTTTCTGTTGTCCTGTACAGTTCCCCTTGCGACAGATAAGGTTCGAGCGGAGTACCAATCGTGTTTGGACTTTCCCGGTGGCTGAGGATTCCTAATGCGGATAAAGAGCGCTTCTCTATATCCCTACAACAGTACTTACTTGCGTTCACCGAGAATATTGAAAGCTCCTGAATTGTTGGTCTAGCTATAGGAAACCCGCGGGCATGCATGTAGGATACTCGACACTTTGAGCCTGAGGCGCTCTTCCTGAACATAGAATAGAGACGCGGCAGAAGCGCGCGCGAACCAATCGCGACAGCAAGTCGGCATGGCACGGCACAGTCTCGTACGCGTATACGCAAGTTTCCGTTTGCAAGTGTGGACGGAAGTGTCATTATTTGTCATGAACGGACGTACTGGAACAAAGAAAATCACGGCTCTCCGAGGCTCACACCACACAACATCCACGCCACCCCTCTCGAACTATCGTCCCGCGTCCTGCGCCTCATTTCCTCGACCATGCGCAGCCCTCTCCGATTATTGGTCGTTACGACCAGAGAGAAGGGGTATGAAATTAGGCGGGAAGGACAGCGAACGAAAGAGAGAGGGAGCGAGAGGCCGGTGGGCGGCAGCCGTGGGAGGCCTGCGTCTACTACTAATGTATGTACTACTCAGTACGTACGGGGGGGCTTGGTGGAAGTGTACAGTATTTTGTGGTTCGGCGCACGCGGTACGGACCCCCGTCCTCGCTCATGCACGCGTGCGCGGGCGGAACTTCATCAAGCAGCCGTCCTGGGGGAACAGAGTAGCGATGATCCTGTATGAAGTACGACTAGTCAGCAACGCACGCGGACTAGCCATCGAGGGAGGGGGATGAAGATTGGGAAGCAGACACTCACTGGACCTTATCGCTCTTCTCCGTCTTGACGTGCTCCCAGTCCATGAGCATCACCGCGTCCGCGAGCACGAGCGCGATGTTCATCATCGCGTACTCGAGCCCGATGCACTTGTGCGGCCCGCTCCCGAACACCAAATAATTCTTCGGGTTCTGGTTCGCGCTCCCGTTCGGGTCCAGCCAGCGCTCCGGCCGGAGCTCGTCCGGCGCGGGGAACACCTCCGGGTCGTGCAGCGAGTTGTAGAAGCTCGGGATGACCATGCTCCCCGCGGGCACCGTGTAGTCGTCCGAGATCGGGAACGCCTTCAGCGTCTTGTACGGCACCATCGTCACCGGCGGCTTCACGCGCATGCTCTCACGCACGAACGCGCGCAGGTACGGCATGTCGTCGAGCATCTCGAGCGTGAGCGGCCGGTCCGGGTCGCCGCCACGCACGCGCTCCTGCTCCTCGAGCACCTTGCGGTAGATCTCGGGGTGGTCCGCGAGGTGTTGGAAGCCGTAGATGAGGCCGGAGGACATGGCGTCCTGCGAGGCGAAGAGGAAGGAGAACACGACCATCGCCATCTCGAGGTCCGAGAAGTCCTTGCGGCCCTTGTAGCCAGGCTCGCTCATCGTGCGCACCCAGTGGTCGAGCATGCCCTCGGGCTCCTTGCCCGCGGCCATGGCCTGCTTGCTCTTGGCAGCGGCGTTCTCAAGGTGCTTGAGCGCGATCTTGCGGCACTGAATCGCACGGTAGACCTTGGTTCCGGGGAGCGCGAGCGGGAAGTTGACGAGCTCAAGGGCGACGGTGATGTCCCAGTACCTGTCAGCAATTTCCCTGGCCGCAACATCGTCGATGTGAGGGCCACAGAACACCTTGAGCGAGGTCTCCATATTGAGGTCACGGCAGGTCATCATGATCGGCTTCGCCGAAGGGTCCTTCGCAGCATCGGCGAGCCACTGCTTGATGTATTTCCTCGTGATCAGGTCCTGAACGTGGGTGTAGATTCTAGGCAAATGGAAATCAGCATTTGCGGGAGAGATAAGCGGAGAAGCCGAGGAAATAGAAGAGAAACCCGATTCAGAGTCTCGCGGACATGGTCAAAGAATCATTGGTGCAGGCGTCACGGGGACCACAGCGGACTGCAATGCTGCCCCTGAACGTGATTCGACGTCTGAAACAGCGCGCCAAGAAGCGATGCCAGTAACCTAATCGGCACATGATCCCAGCAGGACAGCGCGAAGTCTGTGCTATGACGTCTCGTATGAGGCGGACGAGATGGATCTGGGTCATACAAGGCAGCATGCAAAGCATCGGAAACACGGGACCGGGGGATAGGATCGTATATAAACGAGAAGGCCGCAAGGCCAATCCGCGGACGTCTTTCCCCACTGCAATTCCATGAAACGTACTTGAGTCCCTAGCAAGGCGAGTCATATGTGCTTGCGGACTCCTGCACTTCGATGACGCATACATAGAGGATAACAGTAGCCGATGCACGTAAATGCTACGTGTAGTAGGCATATGTCGCGGAATTGACATGCGCAAGAGAGGAAGGAACAGATGGCGGAAAGAAGTTGAAGAAGACCGCTTACGTACCCGAGGGCCTTGCGAGTGAAGAGGGTGTTCAGGACCTTGCGGTATTCCACATGGACTTTTCCAGTAAGGAACACCCTGCAGCGCAACGTGACGTACAATTCAGTCGCAAGGCATATATGACGAACACAGCGAACGCGTCTCACCAGTTGTCGGGGCGGAGGATCTGCTTCGCGGAGTGGACGAGGCAAGGCTCGGCATAGCTCGGCGAGTTAAGGATCTTGCGCGAAAAGTCGTTGGAAGAGGCCATGACGATGAAGCTGCATCGCCGAAGGACAAGGTTTACGGCATCGGTAAATCGTTGTCGTCATCGCAGAGAAGGGTTCGGTAGAGTCGCGGCAGGTTCAGTGCAGCAAAGTTTGCGATAGCGCGCGTTGAGAGGAGCACGGGTTCAATAGCGGGATATAAATGGTCAGAGAGTAACTATAACGGGCGCGTGTATACGCAGCATATAGGCTCCTTACATGTTGAATACGCTGATGGCTGAGAGCGCGCCAGAGTTCCACTGCCTCATGTAGCCCTCCATGGTGGGCTTCATCGAGTCCGCGAACTTGCCGATGATGGGGATGGTCCAGCTGTCGCCGGGGAGGTGACGCTTCTTGTAGCGCCAGACGGATTGTTCAAGGACGAGGAGGCCGGCGACCACAGCGAGCGTCGTCCAAAGCCATGCCGCGGTCTGTGGGGACACGGTGAAGAGGGATGGGACGGGAATATGGCCAAGGGTGTCGGCGGTGAAAGATGGGATGGAGGCAGAGGCAGAGCGGTCTCTGAGCGCGGACGCCATGGCTTGAGGAGGCGGTCTTGCTCGTTGAGACAGAGAGTGAGCGGAGAGAGGCCGAACAAGGGACGACAAACCCCAGGCTGACAAGTATTTGCTCAAACAAGCTGCAACCAACGCCGACAGAGCCGACAGACCAACGCGCCGACCGGTCTTCACATCCTCGCTTTCCAGCCCTCCCATTGGTCACCGAAGAAATCGGTCGATTTGTGCTTGCCTTATATGGCATCGCGTTGGTCCACGCTCATCACGTGGCCGTGTAATTGCCGTGATTGCCAAGCCCGCGGCTTCCGCGCCCGAAGGAGACCGCTGCGTGTCTAAACATACTCGTAGTCAACTCCTACATAGTTGCTTTTCAAGAGTACCGCATTATGTACAGTCCATCGTCTCCCAAGCACCCATCCCTGTCAATTGCCTCAGAAAGACCTGCCACCACACTTGCAATTGCGAGATGCTCTCAGCATCTCCACCATCATGATTCTGATTACTAAATCGTGCAACCGTTCGTGTCTTACAAGCCACCGGTGACACCGACAGTCCCACTCAAACCCAATATGACACTCGTCCTATCTTCTCGGGCAAACCCTCCGGCTCTCTCACATCTCACCGTCCGACCTGCGCAGCCAGCCGCCTCCTCGGCATACGCGCCAGGTCCTTCTTCGCGCTCGAAAACACCCGGCTGCGCACTTGCAGGCTCCCGACCTCCTCCACCAGCGGCAGCGGCAGCGCGCTGGGGAAGAACGGCACCGGCGACCCCCACGTCGGTCGCTCGGCCCTTGAACTCGATGTTGCAGAGGCCTGATCTCGAGCAGCGCGCGCCCCACCTCCGTTCCCGTTCCGATCACGGCCTGAGGGCCGCGCTGCGTCTAGTGCGCCGCGAACGAAGGCCGCCTCGCTGTTCGAGTGTGCGGCCGTCGTCCGGAGGCGCACGCGCACGCTCGAGTCGTTCCAGAGCGACCCAGGTGCCTGAGTCGTAGGCACGAATGACGGCGGCCGCGTTGCCGGCGGCGGGGGCGGGGGAGCGTGGTGCCCCCGAGCGCGCGAGCAGGGGCGTTGGCAGAGATGAGAGCCTGCGCGCGAGCACGCATCGCCGATAGGTCGCGCTCGTACTGCGTCTCGCTGTCCGCCGAGATGTCCTCGTCTGCGTACAGCCGTGCTATGGGATCAGTCCAGTTCGTCAGTTCCATAGATGCCAAGCATGGAAGCGGCCATCACTCACGCCAGCCTCTCGTGCTCCGCCTGGCCATGTTGACGGGGTACGTCGGCGGCCCCAGCGCCGTTGGAGGGACGACCGTCCCCATCTGCGCCCCCGTCCGCACCATCCGCGGCATCTCCCACCTGTCGCGCGTATCCCGCGCCGCCGCGCTCCGCCGCGACATCGAGTCCAGCCTCGACAGCGCGTCCATCCACGAGTCCTCCTCCCCGCTGTCGTCCTCCCACTCGTTTGGGGGCGCCCGCCGGTTCGCCGACGTCTCCCCGAACCCGGGGAACGTCTCCGGCCTCAGCTCGACGCGGAAGACCTCCTCGTCCCCGTCCGCGTTGTACCGCCGACGGACGCGGTAGCTCCTGCTCTCGGTGAGCTCCCCGTCGTCCTCCGAGTCGACCTCGGCTTGCGCACGCAGACGCTCGTTCCGTACCGGCACGATGTCGTTACGCCTGGCGATCACCTCCTCGTCGAACTCAACCGCAAAGGCTGTCGGGCGGGTCGTCGCCGTCCCATCGCCCCTCGCCCCGCCCTGAGTCCCTGAAGGAGCGATCGTGCGGGAGGGCGGCGACAGCGGCCCGTCCGTGGCCCGCTCACGCGCCTCCCGCGACGGTGGGTTCCAAGCCATGACGCGGTCTTCATGGGGACTCGCGCTGGACGGGGAAGTCGCGCTCCAGCTCGTCGGCACGTTCTGCCGCAGGTAGCGTGCGCGGACGGCCGTTTCTGGGGCGCGACGGGGTAAGGAAAGGGCCCCGTCGCGCGGTGGGTCTCTCGGACGCGGGTCGGGCTCGCTCGGCCTTGGTCTCTGGGCCGGCTGAGACCAAGGAAGAAGAGACGGAGGATCGTTCTCGCTCGTCGGCGTCGAGAGATCCGCCAGGTACGGGGTCCCAATGATCATTGGAGATGGAACCCTTCGCGTCATCGGACGTTCAGGCTCAAGACCGAGAATGGTGCGCGTCGCGATGGTAGAGGAGGGACTCGGAAGGCGTAGCGCATCGAGCCGCGCATTACGGTCGTTTATCCACGACCTGAGCGACTCCGCCTGCTGCGTAATGCGTACGCCTTCTTGCTGGATCTCCTGGGCAAGCCGGGTGATGCGCGAGGTGATGTTAGAGGGTATATGTCGCGCTTCGGAGCGATCATTTGCCGCGCTTGGAGAAGTGCTGGGAGCAGGAGTAGCAACGGGACGAGAGGGGACGGCGACCGAACGCGCAGAAGCGGATATAGTAGCAGGTGTGATAGTTGGAGTTTCGGCGACGGAATTGCGAGCGTTCGAAGAAGCTGTGCGCGCAGCCACGAGCAGACCCAAAGACGTTTCCGAATCGCTCGTGGTGCGTTGTCGTAGCAGAGAACTGCGACGGTCGAGCGTGCTTTGGGAGTCGCCGCGCAGGGTCCGTATCCGGCCGTTGAACCTCCTCGGCGCACCTGTCGCAGGTACAGCGTCGGTCCCGTTCGTGGACGAGGGCGGGCTGCCTTCAGGCTCGTACAAACGCAAGGAGGGTGGGAGGGATGTCATGTCCGGCGGGGGAGAACGCGAGCGTGCGCGCTCGGTTGCGCGGCTGTGTCGCTCCTGTGCATATTGTGCTATCGCGCGCCGGAGCTCGTCAAATTCGCTCACCCGCTCGCGGAAACTCTGAGTCATGGAGCGTAGGTCCGCGCCCAGGACTGCGAGCGTAGAGTCGAGCGGACGAGGGCCTCGTGAAGCGGGGGAAGGGGTTGAGGAAGAGGGTGTTGGGGGAGCAGGCGTCGAAAATGATATGGAAGGAGCGGGCGTACTAGTTTCAGAAGATATGACAATAACGTCGTGCCCAGGATCCATTGGGCTTGAGCGTATGACCGTCGACCGAGTGGCTTCCTGCGCTCCTTCAGTTCTCCGCACAGAATTAGCAGAAGGGGTAGTGACGAGTGAAGAAGTGTCCGTCGGAGCACGCGCCGCAAGAGAGGCCTCTGGTGCGCGATTGTGCATTCGTTGGAGTGTGGTGAGATCCTGTAATGTGTCCTGGATGATGGCAGCGGACCTGCGGATTTGTCTCTGAGCCTCTTCGATTTCGGCCTCCATGGTTTGAGTAAGAGCCACGAGTTTGAACCGCTAGACGATGGCACGAGAAGTTGGCTCAGGACCGTGGTGGAACTGCGCGACGGGGTTGATTACTTGGCGTCCGTGAGAATGCGAAGCCACTGCCTCCTTCTTCCAAGCCCTGAGAAGATGAGCGAGAGCAAGAGAAACAAGAGGGGACGGAAGTTGTGCGCACAGCTGCAAAACCCAAGGAGAAGGCGCCGTTCGAAAAGCAGGATTAAGATGGATCACGCAAGATGTTTGTAGCTTCAGCCCACAACGTTGTCAGCCACAGGGTTGCTTTTCCAGAAAACGTGGGACAATGCTGCGTTGCAGCTGAGATGAAGAGTCGTAGCGAAGGGCAAGCACTGGCACACTGGCGATGATGCCCGCGCCCCGACGGCTGTGGATATGGCGCAGGGCGCTCACCTACCACGTATGGCATCAACTCCTACCGCCCGGGCCGCCGCTAGGAACGGTTGGACGTTCCGCTTCAGTTTATAGTACCGTAACTTGCACGCCCATTGGAGGAGACATATACCACCGGCTGGCAGGATGGCACGGAGTATGATGTGCCAATCAAAATACTTTTCAAAGATGCTGGGTGCAGCGCGACCCAACTGGCAGCGGCGACGACGACTCCAGCAGTACATCATTCACTCTCATCCTCATCCTCCTCTTCGTCAGTCTCCTCCGCCTCGTCATCGATGAACCCGCCAAGGGTGGGGTCGTCTCCCTCCTCATCTTCATCGTCGTCCTCATCCTCCTCAGCCTCCTCGTCCGACCCCTCGATAGACTCATCCTCGCTGCCGCCCAACTCTACGTCCTCGATGCTTCCTTCGTCATCGGCGCTCTCGACCTCGACCTCCATTTGCTCTTCTGCCTCAACCTCACTCTCGCCCTCGACATAGCGGCGGGACTCTCGCACCCGGTTGGGCTTGTTGCGGCTCTTATTCTTCGGCATAGGCAGCGGTGCAGGCGGGCCGGAGGAACGCATCTCGATCTGGGACATGACCATGTCGAGGCGGCCGCTGAGCGACAAGAGGCTTTCTTGCAGCGTGAGCCGTTGTGTCAGCGTTGCATGCAAGCCGGAGAGGCGAGCGACAAGATCTGGCATCTGTAAACCGAGTATGTTAATCCCTATCCATGCACGAGTTGACCGAGGCAACTCACGGTCATGAGGTGACCACTATGGGTGGTCAAGACCGCCTTCACCCAGTTGATCAGAGCAGTCCCACGTTGCGAGCTTGCGCCTCCCCCTCCGCCCTTCAACGCATTGCCTCGCGCGCCCCTACCTAACCGCTCCACACAAGCAGTGACAAGCGGTACCGCCAGCTGAGGCGGGAGCCTCCGGACAGTATTCCTAATGAGCGTCGCGTCCGAGTGAGCGAGACACGTCTCCAGCAGCCGCGTGTCAGACGAGTGCAACGCCTGTATGAGCGTCCGCGTAAGGGAGCTTGCGGGCACCGCGTCCACCGGTGCCACCTTGGACTTGCCGTTCGGAGCGGGGGCACTACCTTCACCGTCAGAGTCAAATTCGGAGTCAGACCCGCGAGCGGCCACACCCTGCACCGCGGTCAGACGCTGGCCGAGACTAAGTTCGGCGAGGTCAGCATCGAGGGCACCGTCGACGTCTCGACTGACGAGGTCGTCAAGCTCCCGATCCTGCCCAATCTCGGCTCCGATTCCGACAGCAAGAGATGCCGACTCGTTGTATCGCTTGTTCGGTGCGCCCTAGAGGGGACTTAGTGAAACTCGTAATACGGATAGAAGCGATGTGTACCGTAATCTGCCCATCCGCTTGTCCGACGGCGGCTTCTAATGTGGCAACGGTGACAGAGACGTCAGGGACGAAGTTCCCAGATTGATCTCGGTAGTCCTGCGAGCAGTATTAGACGAAGCGTATACGAGTTCCTTGAAATTGGACGAAAACGTACCACTGCGTCAAACGCCAGCTGCACACCACCCGTCACGCTGGCGATCCTGAGGCGACCGGCAGCCTCATCAACGGATGATACGGCAAGGACAGATAGGGCAGCCGCGTTCTTCCTGGATGAAGGGGAGATAACTGACTTGGGGGCAAGGGTAGGTATCGCGCTCTTGCCTTTCGCAGAGCTGGGAGTTGCAAGGTCGGAGGCCACGGTGAAGACGGAAATCTTGCCGGCAGCGGACACGGTGAAGAGAAGCCGCCCTGCGGTAGAGTCTGACAAAGGAGGCGGTGAGAGGTTGATGGCGCGGGAGTCGGAGTCGAGAGGGATAGTAGCCACGATCTTGCCATCCGTCTTCGGTGCAGATGGAACTTCCCAAACGTTCACGAAACGGTCGACAGATGCAGAAGAGAGGAAATGCGACTTGTCTAGCCACCGCAACTCGCTCACTGGAGACGCATGGCCCGTAAACTTGGCGAGGGTCTTCGGCTTTTGGGACTCAGCGGCGACGGCGAGGAGGTGTATTGAGTGATGTGCCGCCAACACCTCTGTTACGCTCTCCTCTTCAGATGAGCGAGCTGAGAGGGAAGTGTATGGTATTCGATCGTCGCTGAAAAGCGAGTGCAATATCTTGTTCGCCCGCGCGTCCCATAATCGAAGAGCGCCATCCGCGCTCGACGCCCAAAGAGTGTGTGGGTCAACGGAATCGGTGTCTTGGCCAGCAACTGCCAGGACAGCAGACGAACTCGAAGGGTCAGATAGCGTGCGGAGTAGTCTGCCGTGGGTAGGCGAAAAGAGCAGGAGCGAGCCGTCAGAAAGACCAAGGACAACAAGCTGAGGCGCAGCATTACTGGAGGGCGCAGCATCCGCCGCAAGACTGTTCCTCTTCTTCCGTTTACTCTTTCTTGAGCTCTGCTCGTCCTCTATACCCTTCCCTGCTCCCTCCGCGAGATCTAGCCTAGCCCAGCATAGAGAGGTAACGCGCGCGGCATCCACGATGTGTTCGGCGACAGAACGGCGTGTCGCCGTGTCATAGACTTTAAGCGCATGTTTGTCTATTGCTAGAGAAAGAAAGGCGAAGAGGTGGCCATCAGGGGAGAAGGAGGAGAGGTAGGTCGAGGTTGTGGCGTCCTCGACCGCGGGTTGAGAGATGGCGGATGTTGCCTGGGGCCGTCCGCGAGGCGGTTTTGTGCGCGACTTTTTCGCTTTTGATAGGGTGGCTGCCATGGTCCTTGGTCTTTGTTGAATGAGCCCTTGAGGCCGTCGAGGACAGCAGAAATACGCGTACCTTGCTTGGAAGGAAGAGCTCAAGTCGCACAAAAGATTTGCTACGCGCCTACAAAGTTCACGCACGTGACTCTTTCGATCGTTCCCTTCGGGCGTTTAGCAGTCAGAGAAGTGAACCCGCTTGAACCCCGGGCACCGTCCTGCTCCCGGCCTTCGCGATATCTCTCGCTCTTTCCCTCTATCTCTCGCCCAGTTCTCCATCATATTACACAGTACTCTCTCTGGGGCCCCTCTTCCTTGCGCTTTTAATCTCTTGGCTGTCTTAGCATCTCAGACCTTCCGAACATCACCTCCGATCTTCCCGGCATCAACTGTTGCCCAACCTGAGCGACCCAATCATGAATTACGTGCAGGTCAGTACTCGAAAGTCGACTCTGCTTTGGCAAACTTGCCAATACCATACTTTTGCAGCTCGAGAAGCTAGGTAATCACATCTTAATGGTCTGATAGAGACACCGTAGCTGATCAACGCATATAGGCGAGGGTACATACGCCACTGTATACAAGGTATGTGGCTTGTGCGCTCGCCAAATAGCCACAGCTCACCGGTGGCTCACAGGGCCGATCGAGGACAACAAATGAGATTGTCGCGCTCAAGGAGATCCACCTCGATGCGGAGGAAGGAACACCATCCACCGCCATCCGCGAGATCTCCCTCATGAAGGAGCTCAAGCACGTTAATATCGTCCGCCTCTATGATGTGATCCACACCGAGACCAAGCTCGTTCTTATCTTTGAGTACTGTGAGCGCGATTTGAAGAAGTACATGGATGTCCATGGCGATCGTGGCGCGCTCGATCCTGTCACCGTACGGAGTTTCATGTACCAGCTCCTCAAGGGCACCTCGTTCTGCCACGAGAACAGGGTCTTGCATCGGGACCTCAAGCCACAAAATCTGCTTATCAACAGGAAAGGCGAGTTGAAGTTGGGTGATTTCGGTCTCGCACGAGCGTTTGGAGTTCCCGTCAACACTTTCTCGAACGAGGTTGGTTTGTGCGCTTATGTCCGTTGTTCTCGCACTCACGACCGGTATCGCAGGTCGTTACGCTCTGGTACCGAGCGCCAGACGTTCTTATGGGTTCAAGGACGTACAACACATCTATCGACGTCTGGTCTTGCGGGTGCATCTTTGCCGAGATGATTTCTGGTGTGCCCCTCTTCCGCGGGCGCGACAACCAAGACCAATTGTTGCACATCATGCGTATCATTGGAACTCCCGATGACCGTGTACTTCGCAAGATTGCCACTGAGGGGGTGTGTATCGAATATATGCGATTTGACCCTTCTCACTAATGTATACACTTCTTTCGCAGCAAACGGAGGGTCAGGCGCAGAAGCAGTACCCCCGCTATCCCAAAATCCCATTCTCACAAGTCCTTCCTAAAGCGTCGCCACAGGGTATGTGTCAGAGTTGTGCCATGGTCCAGCAGTTGATAACGTACAGCTCTCGTACAGCTCTCGACCTCCTCGAGCGACTCCTTCAGTTCGACCCCGCGAAGCGCATATCAGCCGCTGAAGCACTACAACATCCCTACTTCAGTACCTCTCAGCCTATGTACACCCAACCGACCCCCTTCACTCCCGCCGTCATTGCGCCTCAGTATCAATACCCGCAGGGACAGGGACAGGGTCAGGGCCAAGGTCAATACCAATACAATAGCCAGCATGAAGCGGCTCGCAACGCTGCTGCGCAGGCCCAGTTGGCCCTCGCACAACCGCAGATTCCCGGCGCCGGTTACGGCATGCAATATCCTCAGCAACAGTACCAGACGGGCACACGGTAGAGTTTGTCGCGCCGTTGGTCGAGGACAATGTTTGTAGTTTCATGGACGTGTAGAAGTGAATGATCGCTTTGTATCGTGACTCTGATTCCTTAGCTCGTTACCGTCTCATTGTCCAGTCCGATAATGTATCATCCTCGTCCCGGATGTTTCTCGTAGTATGCCTACCGCTCAGTATGTGTTTCCCTCAACATGTGGTCATATGTAGGGCCTCTCGTCTCGTTAGATTTGCCATCATAGTTATGTATCGTACATGAGGAACTGTAATATACCCGATCCAAGATGTTGTACTTTCCGATTGAACTGCCCCCTATGACTCTCGTGAGAACGTGTTCAAGATGTTTGTTTTCGAGAAGTCCTTCGTCGCGTTGACCTGGCGGGTGCCTCGTCTGTCGTCTTCGCCTGCGTGGAACGTCACCCTCCATCGACCTGCTAGCATGGGGAACATACCTTTCGTTTGAGCTTGCGAGTGACTTTCTCTACCTTCTCCTCTTCCTCTTGGCCGGACAGAGGTGTCAGGTCACTCTCGTCCGCCTCATCGACCTGATTGTGAAGATGTAAACAGATCCTATCTCTAGAAGCAGCGTCGCAGCCACATCAAATACGCACACCGGAGCCTACAATTCCTCGCTTCAGCGTCTGGAGCTCTGCCACGTAAGCTGACGTGCGCCCGCCGATGGTGACCCACTTGATCGTGGCGGGCTTTCCGTCGGGCTGTGGCCCAAGGCACCTGTCAGTTATCACCCTTAACGCTGAAGTCTGTCCGCTCATGATTTACGAGTTTGAGTGTATGCTTCTCCTTCTTTCCCTTGCCCTGTGATACCATAGACACGTACCGTCAGTTCACGAACGGCTCGCCGTCGGAGACCGCGACGTACCCAACGATGCCGGAAGAGCCAGTCGTCAGGGAACTGGGAGTCGTCCGCATTGACCGACACAGCGAAGCGGCACACCTCAGCTGTCTGCGTATACAGAGCTTGCAGCTGGTCCCCATTCAGAACATTACAGCGCTCCTCGGGATGCACCCTTGCGTGGTATAGTATCTCGTCTGCCGCAAGGTCAGTTGGGTGCGCCGGCGAATAGACACGCACACACCTGCAACCCAGTTGCCCACTCCCGCGCTGAATGACTGGTCGAGAAGCAGTGCCTTGATTGGACATGCCCTCTTCAACACACCCTTCTCGAAATACTCGAAGTCCGGCATGGAGATAATGGGGTCGAACCCTAGTGACGAGATGGGCGCTTCCGTGAGTGGCGACTTGCAGAGTCGTATGCGGCCCAATCTTCTCGGGTCGAGGAACGCCACCTGTTGGGCCTCTTCGTCATCTTCCCCCTGTATATGTAGAACAAACTGAACGGGTTCTCAGCCTCGACTAAACGACTGCGACGAAGGAGGCAGCGCCGCTACCTTCATGAACTTGGGCGGCCAGTCTGTCGACGCCTTCCTAGGCGCTTCTCGGTAATGCATCGGCAGCTCCCCTTTTACCTAGGTATCACATCATGAGGAGAGGGTAGCAGCAGGTGCTCGTGGATTCCAACCTGTAGCATACCAGTCATACCGAAATGCATGACTGGATGTCTTCCGTCACCCTCGAGCTCAACGTAAAACACCTTTCCTGTAAACATGCCAGTGAGCCCAGGTGCGACTATGAAGCACATAGCATCTACCATATCTCTGCACATCCTTCACCGCCCGTCCGGATACTTCACTAGCCTTCGGAGAGCGCTAATTAGCAACAACACTGGGCCAGAGTAACGATCCAGAAGCGTACAAAGTCAACGTGGGTGATTTTAGAGAACACTATGGCATCCTCATCGGAGTCCACTTTCACGATTATCTTCCCTTTGGCTACTTCGCGTAAGAGTCTTGCAGCACGCTCGACCTCTGTGGAGAAGAGCGACTTAGCACACTAGTGATTATTTGTCTACCCTGACTACTCATGTATCACGTACCGGGAAGCTCAGGCATAATCGGAGTGTTGCACTTAGCTCGACCGTAGAGCTAGAGGGCCTACGACTGCTCACTTTTCCGTGTTCAAGGAGCCGCAATATTGTGGTTGAAACGAGACGCGTTCCGAAGCTGGAACCGAGCGCTGGTCCGTCTGGCCTCCCATTTAGCGTTGAGCACAGCCACGCAGCGAAGGTGCTACTGCCAGTGCGCTACATAGATCTGCGACCATAACCGTCGTTCCGACAATCATGAGTCCGCTGTGCAACTGCCTCCACCTCAGCTGGGTTTCACTCCTGCAGATTAACTTATACTGAAACATTGTAATAGGATGAAGAAGTAAGTAAATGATTGACTATCGTTGCGCACATAGATGCTGCCCAATCCAAGGTCCGATCGAGACATGATATGACGAGGAGACTGAAGAACATACGAGCACAGCGGGGAAGCAATGTATTTCAGCAGGCGACACCAGGTCCCGAAGGATCTCGCCGATCGCATCGTCCGAACTCCTACACAGTCCTGGGCTACCGACGCTTGTTCCCCAGCAACCACTCCCCGTTATGGTCGCCGGGGCACCCCGCGCTCTTCAAGTGCCTCTTCAGCGCATCCTTCCGACTGGTGATCGCCTGCCCGCACCCTCCCACCATATCCCTGCCATCGTACCGCATGACGCGCCCATCACGAACGTACGCGTCCACCTGATCCTGCGAGAGCCCGTACTTCGCGGCGTCAGACTGGGGGACCCCAGTGCACACCCAGTCCCACACGTTGGCCGTGTGGGTGCGGATGTGCCTCTTGAGCTGGGACCTGCTGCGGTCTAGCTGCACGAAGTCGCAGTGCGGGCACTGCCAGGCGTCTGCGTGCGCCGCGGCGTCTGGCGGCGACGAGCGCGCGTCCACTTGGACGTTGCGGGGCCGGCTGATTTTCAGGCCAAGACCGTGAGGCTTTCCCGAAATGCCTAGCTCCGGAGCCTGGGGGGCGGGGGTGACTGGCGCTGACGATGGCGGCGAGGAGATGCTCGAGGAGGGGGTTAGGCACGGGGTGGCGTACGGAGAGTGTTTCCGCCTGTCGCGCTTAATCCGGACCCGTCTTGAGGGCGGAGTGCTCTGGTATGGAGAGCCCGTGGACGACATCCCTCTGCGTGAGGCATCCCCGGCTTCAGACGCGAGTTGGCCGACGGGACCATTAGTCGGGGGCGGCATATATACGGGGAGCGGCTGTGGCCAGAGGGGCACGGGCTCCGAGGTCTCGGGCGCTTCCGACAGCAGCGGCACCCCCAATATATCAAGCCCCAGCGACCCTCCGCCTACCATTGGCTCGAGAACGAGCTGCGATATACCCCGAACCTCTTCCGTCGGAGGAGGAGGGAGCGATGCGACGCCGAAGAACGGTGACAATGGCGGGGGAAATGCGGGTAGGAGGCAAGACTCCAGGTCGGTGCCTATGCCCTCGAGGGAGCTGGATGTGGTGTCAGGACAGTCAACTCAGGACCGAATCGATGAACGCTCACCTATCACTCCCATATGAACCGGAGGGCCTGGCATGACCTTGTTCGACCTCATCCATATGAGGAGCGCACAGGTCATAGTTAAGGAAGAGGTCGCACAGCTCCGATGTCGGAGAGAAGGTGGCTGGAGACATCGCTTTGGAGGGTAAATGTGGGCGTAAGATGAAATCTGAGGGGTATAACGTCTAGAACACGACGGGGAAGAGTGCAGCTATCTCATCCAGGGTATGAAGGTGGGGAAAGGGTCGACTTGAGGTGGGGGTTTATAAGGACCGTACCATCCACCTAGCATCTCAGGCTAGTCTAAGAGGTTCCTGCACAACGCGGTGCACGATGTCAGTGCCGTTACACGTCTTTGAGGTCAAAACCAAGCTGCTTTCACATTAAGAGAACCAATCCGATCTATAGGTTCCTACTGGAAGTCCGTGCCACCTGCGGTGCTGCGGTAGGATCGGGACCCAAGACTCTCATCGAACAAAGGTGTGTTAATATTGCTGGCCCTGCTGAGAGGAAGCTTGCCTCGTGCCTGCCTCAGGAGAAGGCTAGAAGCGCCGCCCTGTCTTCGGTCCTTTGAGAGTGGTCTCAGTTATACAAGTTCTGCGTGCACCGCCGGCCTAGTACGTACGTACCGTACGCCGCTCCATTGTTGAGTCTCCGTTTCCCATCGGGGAAGTTCAGCTTTCCAGATTCATGATCGTGAAGTCGCCGTGTCCTGTGAGCTCGCGAACGCTCTCGATACTGGCCTGATTGTAAGATAGTCCCGAGATCGTCCCCGAGCAGACGTGAGACGACGGCCTTGTGGCCTCGGCTAGCGAATATTCGTCCGCGATGTGCCCTCCATGTATACGACGACTCGAGTGTACTCTGGTTCTCCGGACGTCCGACGCGCCTCGGCTAACGATCTTGAGCATGAAACTAGCCCGTTCGTGACTTGAAGCGCTCCATTGTGCGTTGACAGCACCAAACTCCGCGATGGCAATGAGGATCCTAGGCCACAGAGAAGCCGCACGTCTACGCGTGAGGCCTCGCCTGATGCAGATTGCATTGTCGTCGGCCTCACTTGCTCGATCAATCTTGGCGCCCACATCAAACCCGCGTCCTCAACGGCGGCGGGAGAGGCCTCGAGATCCGCTCTGGCACAAGGTACATGATGGCGTCGACGTAAGACAAATAAGCATCCTGGAATTTTCGAAGCAGAGATCAGAATACTCGCTCTTCATACAATGCTTCGCAGACCAAATAATCCCGAAGCCAGCATGAGCCTGTTTGCCTCTATTTGGCCACCCGGGGAAACGTCTGCAATATTTGCCGGAAGCCGCTTTGCAGCATGGATGGTGTTTACCCACAAACCTACTTTAGACCTATCGCGAAGTCAACGAACACGGTCGTGCACTTGAGCAGCAGTAAAGCGGGCACGGACTCCAGCACGGTCTTCCGGGACTCCTCGCGAGCGCCTTGCGTCGGAAACAGAAATCCTCGCCTGAACAACGAGCAGCAAATGGAAACGCGCGCGAACGTGACCGCAATGTGTTTGTTGCAAAGGACTGTCTTTTTGGTCCGTGAAGTAGGCCGTGAGCAGCTCCATGGCTACTCACTAGCGCTCACTCTGAAATTGACAGGGCACATCGGAGGACGTTGTGAGACAGGCAGGTAAGAGCACAAAACGTTGTGACACTTGGCGGCCTATACACTGGGAGGCATTGCAGAGGAAATGTTTGATGCAGATTATGTGTGCACTACTGATACAGTATCATACAGACACAACGTGTAGTCCATGGTTGATGGGGACCAGTTACTTGCGTACTTCCTTCTCGACGTCATGCTTGAAGTCTCGGGTGCCCTCCCGAGCACCAGCCGCTGCCTGAGGGTTCGGGCGTGAGAACGACACACCAGTAAGAGCTATGGCTTGGGTACGAACCTGGTTGGCTTTCTGGCCGGCAATGGTCGACTTCTCAGCAGCCTTGTCCTTGGCTACACCTTTGAGCACAAGAGTCAACAGGCGGATTTCATTGGTGAGTGTGGAGAAGACGTACCAAGGGTCTCCTTCGTCGTCTCCGTTGCCTTCTCGCCCTTCTCGATAGCGCTGGCAAGCCCCTTTCCGACAGACTTGTTCACCTGTGAGATTGTTTCGTTAGTCCATGCAGAAAAATCGCTAGCAGGGGGTTGTCGACGCGTACCTTGTCAGCGACCTCAGCGACCTTCTCTGTTGTAGACTTCTGGGAAACAGCAGAGACATGGAAGGCGCGCGAAGACGACGCGAGAGCCGAGCGCGAGGAGGCAGAGAGTGCGGTGCGAAGCATAGACATGGTTGCGGTCGGGATACGATATGGAGAAGATCGATACTGGTCGGGCGGGCCCGCCTTGGACCTAAGTAGTCCTGCGTGAAGGCATGACGTCAATGTGGGAGCGTTGCTCTGGACCAATCAAGCTCATTGAGGAGCCCTTACACCAGGACTGGCAGTGGATGCGCCATGACTGGCACGCAGTGGCTGCTTGCACGCTCTCGCTCACTCGTTTGCACAACACCTGTCATGACGTCACCTGCACCTCGCGCTCACGTGTCCTTCTCCCGACGCCCCGCCCCCCGCGTCTTCCAGCGCAGCGCGTTTATATACCTGCTTTCTTACCATCATTCATGTCTATGCATACCTGGTGTCCTGTGCCGCGATACAAGAGAAGCCTCTCTACTCGAGGATGTCCCGATCTATACGGAACGTCGTCGCCCGCTCCGCATTCGCATAGCCAACCAGAGTTCGAATCTGCTTGACGTGCTCTCCAAGTAGAGAAGTGTAGTGGGATACATAACCAACGCCGCCCCAGATCTAGCTATCTATGGCACAGTAACGGGCTGCGCAGCATGACCCCGCCCGAGCTGTGCGACCCTTCGGCGTTGACAGTACCGACGCGATCTTGATGATGGTTAAGCCACTGTGCGGCGCTGTGGTCCGACACATCTTCAGGTCAAAACAGGCGGGAGTCGCTGGTTAGGGTGCGGTATGCTAAAGGACTCGCCAAAAACTCACGTGCATGCTCTACAGGCCTACGGCGTGCCTGAGTTCCCGGTACACGACCGCTGTGCCACGGTGTCGAAGTGCAGTCAACAACGGTGAGAACCACCGCGCCGCTACATAAGTATCACGGAGAGATGGGCTGCGGGCGTGCCAATCAAGCTTCCATGAAGCTCGGTACTAGGAAGGTTACCCGCTGGTTGCATTCGCATGGGACCGAAGCGCGGCAACGCAGGGCACAGGAACTGGAGAGGGGACGTCCGCATCGTGATGTCGCTGGCGATCAGAACGGAACCGATTCGTAGTGTACGGCTGGCTTGCAACGCCGCCGCAGCTATGCGCGTGCACCAGCCAGAGCCAGAGCCAACTTGTTTCGTGTGTGGTGGCCATGCCCAAGAACGCTTCTTGCTGCGAATGTGGTAGACAGGAGGTCGTTTTGTAAGCCGATGGGCGATGATCCTCGTATTTGGCATGGTGAGCAGGTAAGCGGGCTAGCCGAGGAAGCTGAAAGTCAGACTACCTGCCTGACATACGGCATGCACGAGGAGGCGCCAGCTTGTTCGCGAGCACGCAGTCCGTAAACGGTGCCGGTGAGTACCGAAGCCACCGAGGCGAGATCCATCCTCAGCACATCAGAGAGGCTGGGCACTTCTTCTGGCACCGCGTGGGATGTAGAAGACGATTTGCCCGCGACACCCGTCGTATAAAGACAAGGCAGAGCGGACGGCATGTTGGCAGCATGCTCACCGTAAATGTCGAGCTCGTGCTTCTCGTGTAGCACACAAGTATCTTCTGGGCGGCCGCGGGCGTACGGCAATGCATATGGACACAGGGTGGAACTGCGGCCTGTGCGGGAAGTGTCGAACATACAAAGCGCGAATGAAGCTTTGGCCGCGGCCCGCAATCTGGTGTCTATCCGCCTCCGTCTTGTGGCATCCGTGTCAGATTGACAGATGATTGGACACAGCAGCACTGGCACAGCCAGACAGAAGGAGCGACTGGACTTGTTCCTCTAGGATTCCCACTGTGGACGAAAGGGAGGCGGGCGTTGGTAGAAGCATGCCTGCGGCGCGAGCCACGATGATGAGCAAAAGTCCAGGATGCAACGGCGCAGAGTGGCAGACCGAGGCGAACGATCAAAGCAACGGACGGGGCCGGAGGCTGAGGCACGATTCGCGGGAGGAATAGCCGGAAACGGAAGGGCGCCTGGAGAGATTGGCAGGGCGTCGATGATTGATTCCTTGGTTGTTGATGGGACTTGCAATTGCACACTCGGACCTGCCGTGCGACCTCCCGACATGAGCTACGCGACTCCGGCAACGATGGAAACCCACTTGCGAATCACCTTCAACCAAATCTCCTTCCCCGCCTCCCGCCCCCCCGCCTCGGCACCGCCCTGTGCTGTCCCCCTTCCCTACATAGATACCTTCCCGGGGCCCGTCTCCGTCCTGAGACGGTAGCCCCGTTAATTCTCCGCAATGCTCTTGCCTTTGGACGTCCTCTCGCTTGTCCTGCTCTCCATCTCCACATCCCCCTTCGCTGGAATCCTTTCAGTCTCGGCAACCTTGGTCAATGTCACCATAGACGATACGTTCGGGGATCCAGCTACGGGGGACCAGATCTCGTACGCGCCTGAGGGAACATGGCAACCGGTTTCATGTGCAGGCTGCACCGCTAAGCCCAACCCTTCACAAGTTTCCAACAGCACTTGGCATGAAGGAACATTTAATCCTGATGGCGCCAGAGGCTCAGACCAGCTCTTGTCTGCAGCTGTCTCTTTCGAAGGTATGTGTATGAATCCGCATTCTTGCATAGAGCCCAGGGTGCTCACTATGCTCGGGCCACAGGTGTCGCTGTGTATGTTTTCTGCGTTGTAACACACTCCTTCACGTCCCCAGTCGGAAACTCCGACATGAGCTTCTTCCTCGACGGCAACCTTGTGGGTACATTTCAGCAGCCCCCAAATGGCAATGCGACGTACGAATACAACGTGCCTGTCTACGTCAACGAGTCTTTACCTCCAGGGCAGCACACCATCGTCGTCGTAAACGGTGAACTCGGCGGGAACACCTCCCTCACCTTGCTTGACTACATCGTCTATACGTTAGTCCTTCCCACATGCTGTCTTCCGGCTCTGTGTGTTGACGCTGATCCGAACGCCCACAGACGAGACGTCAACTCGACCGCCAGTGTTCCTGCGTCTCTCACGCCCACCGATACCGCTTTAGCTGCCGTCTCCACGGCGGGTTCCTCTGCAACCCCCATGGCCACCTCTACCTCTGCCAGCTCGTCCTCAAAGCGTACAATTATCATCGCTGTGGTCGCCTCCATAGCCGGAGTCCTGGTCATCGTCGCTGTGGTCGCTGCTATCATCTACTTTGGCCGGCGACGCGCTCGGGCTAACGCGCGTGAAGGCTCGCGAGACGGCGTTATTGCTCCAGACGCAGCTCCTATAGACCAAGAGAACCCGAATGCGAGCGGTTGGGTGGAGGGTACATGGGCAGGAGACGACGAGTCGGAGCTCCCTTCTGCGGGCGGGACGCGGCGCACGCTCTCAAGTGGGCGGCGAAAGCGTGGGCCGTCGAACGGTTCCGCGTCTGCATCGTCCATTCCTAATACGCCCTCTACCAGGAGTCTAAACAAGCCTCTGCCCACGGTGAGCGACATCCAAATACCCCGCCTTCCGTTCTCGCGCGCGGACCCCGTCAGCCCATCCTCGTCGTTCGGGAACCTCGGGAGCGCACCTCCGAACTCGGCCACCTTCTTCGTCTCCCCCCCGCCTCCCGTCCCCCCTCTTCCCCCCGCAAACGACCCTCCAACACGGCCCCCACGTCCCCCCGAGAGCGATACCTTCCTAGACCTGGGCCAGTCCTTCACCGACACCAACCTGTCCACGCTGTCAACCCACGCCGCCCACCCGTTCGCGACTGCGCAGAGCTACACCCCCTCGGCCGCAGGCTACACCCGCCAACGCTCCGCAACGAACACGTCCACAACCATCCCCCCACCAAGCGCGTCCACGGGCGCGCTCGCCGCCGCGACTCGCGGGCACGTCTACGCGTCCGCCGCCGCGCCCGCGCCCGGCCCGTCACGCAAGCGCTCAGGGTCCGACCTCTCGCGAGATCGCGAGCGCGAGCACGCGTACGCCCGCGCCAACGCACCGTCCCGCCAACGCTCCGGCTCGGACACCCCGAACCCCTCGCCGTACACGCGCGTCGCGGGCGGGCCCGCAGCCCTGCGGCAGCGCTCGGGGTCAGATCTGGAGGTGAACTACGGGTACCGCAGCGCGGCGCCCCCCGCGCCCGCGCGGAAGCGGTCGGGCTCGGACCTGGAGAGCAACTACGCGTCTGCGTCCGCGTCCGCGATGTCCCCGACTACGACTGCGTACGCGTCGACGCTGCCGTCTACGGCGACATCCCCCACGAGCATGACCGCGCTCGTGCCGAAGCGCGGGCCGAGCCCGCAGGCGAAGGAGAAGTCGCCGGCGGGTTCGCTGTCGTTGGCGCAGGGGACGAGCCTGCGCGCGGCGGCCGCGCCGAGACGAGTGGATCCCGTCGATCCTTCGTTGCAGCCGTCGCGAGATCCGCCCTTGGCGCGGGAGGCGTCTTCGCGTGAGCGGGACCAGGGGCGGGAACGGGAACGGGAACGGGAACGGGAGCGCGCCAAGGCGCAGGCGCAGGCGGAGACGTCCACACCACAAGGACAAGCGGAAAATAGGCCGCGAGAACAGGCCGAGGAGCAACAGGCGCAGTCTCTAGCCCGAGCCCGGAGCGGCCGACGGGTAGGGCTGGTGATGTCCGATCGCGACCGACAGCGATTCGGTTTCCTGGACGTCCCACAGGACGCGGGCGATAGCAGGCCACCGTCGTATCGGGAGGCGGACCGCTGAGAGTCGTGCAGCGTGGCTCGAGGCGTGTTCTGGGATTCTCTCGACCCGCGCGGTGCGCACCCAGACTTCTCGCGTCCCACTCTATCTGTAGGCTGTCCCCCCCGGCCCGCCTCGTCTTCCCGTTGTTTCTGGAGACCGCGATGTCATGCGCTTGGTATCCCTCCGACAAGCCCGACGACTAGAAGCCTTGCGGCCTTGCTACCTACCATCCTAACCCATCTCCAGCCCCGAGGCTGTGCTCACGATTCGTCACGACCAGGAACCTACCCTCTTTTTGCCTTCACAGTACCTTGCTTCTCGTCACTCTCTGCTCCTGTGGTCGTGTTCTGTTTCCGCTTTTGCTGTATCTCGTAGCGCACCATATCGCACGTGTTGTCTGTATCTTTCGCGGGACGCTTACCGCTATGATTATTTTACATACTTTCAGGTTCTCGTTGTATCTTGCGTATGTACCTGTAATCTTATTCGCACATCTTACGGATATCACTCTAGCTATCCGGACGGCCTTTGGAAGCCTTGCATGACATGTCTTGCGTTGCTAGCTGGTGTAGGTTGGTTGCGAGGTGATGAATAGTCAATGCCACAGGCGGAGGTAAAAGTGGTCGTTAAAACACGTTGTGTTACGTAGTTGTACATGAATGGAAAGGGGTATAGTACAGTTCGTGGAGTTCATTCAAAATGATCATACAATATCGGCTTGCCTGAATGTGTAGCAGCTGCCTAGAGATAGCGCGAGAGAGACGAGTAGAAGGAAAGAAGACACGGGAGGACGGGAGCGCGCGAAGTCGACCTGGAGCGCGTCCGCTCCGACTATGAGCGACGTTGCTTCCTCGAGGGACGCCCCCACGCAAAGTTGTCGTCTTCGAGCATCTCGGCAACCTATACACACGCGAGCACGTTCCGCGGTCAGCGCCGGCGGCCGATGACAGGTGCAGGCTCGGGGACAATACTCACGGGCTGAGATGATGAGGCGTTCAGGGGCAGTGTGGGCGGCGAGTGCATCTGAGGCTGTTACGAGAACGAAGATTGCAAGGAAGACGTGAGTACAACCAACGAAGCGGGTATCATATGGTGTAGAGGCTTACCAGAGATATGACGTAGGATTCTCCGGACTCGAACGAGTCGAGGGACCCACGACGGTCAGAGCCGTTAGAACGCTATTACATCCAATGGAGCAGCGGCGAAAGGAGATGGAGGAAGCGCACAAAATCACAGTGAACACTCGCTCAACAACATGTTTACAATGGGGAGTTATACGCACTCTTGAACTCCGCGAGGAGAACAGCTTCGCGAACGCGAGTGGTGCCATAGAATTGATGACGGTGGAGAGGTTCGAGTGATGTGGCTAGCAACGCTCAGGAGTGATGAATGCCGAGATCGGATTCTGGTGATAGAGATACTGTCGTCGATGATGTCTGGAAAGGCTTATGAGAGATACCGTGGACAGTGAGGAAGGATGTAATTCGTGGACAGGACAGATAGGCAGGTGGACAGAGAGTCCATAGCAGCTCCATTCCAGGCTTTATATCAAACGCTCCGTGGCATGGCGCCCAATCTGACCGCCGAAGGGCCGGATGGTTATTGGTCAGAAGACATGGTGCAGCCAGCGGCACAAGGCGACTAGAGTGGCTGAACAGCTGATGAGCTGACAGGGTATTACCAAACGCGCACCGTGACCACCCCTTTGCATGGCGCTGTCGTCCACGTCAACGTAACGCGGAACAAAGAGCCGATGGTCCATCGCTCCGTTCCTCGCCCGACGATGGGCAAAGGCAGAGTGTGCACCAGCTGACCAGTTTAGTTTTGACATGGCTAGATTCCCGGACAGACCCGGACACCTGTCGAAAGTGCGGGGTGGTGGGGGAAGCGGGCGGTTGCACTGGATGAGAGGAAGGGCGTCTGCGACCTTTGTTCCGTGGACCGATCCGGGCGCAGCTGGCCAGTGAGCTATTGTGGTTTCTCCTGTGTTTGGGTGGATGTTCTCAGCGGCTGAGGGACTCCGCATGTCCGATGAAGAGACGCGGAAGGGAAGTCGTGCAGACCCGTGACTGGCTGACTAGGACTCGTGTACCTGACATAGACGTTGTCAAGGGCAGGGATGACCGGCAGGATGTACAATCATGCTTACCGGAGGTCACGCACCGTGTTCTTGAGGCGTCCTGGCGGTGGGAAGCCGGCGAGAAGTGGAAGATGTGATGTGCACTAGGTCAGGCGCTCACTTGGAGGTCTTCGTTGTTTAGCGCTTTTCTCAGAGGGTTTGTGAATGAAAGGTTTTGCACGAGGGTCGCGCTGTTCTTCGAAAATGGGCAGTGCGTCATACTTAAACCAGGAAAGACACACCGTGACTCAATCTATGCAGGGAACGGCAAGGGACAAGTGAAAGCCGGCAATTCTAAATTAGGATGCTTAATACCATGAACGCATGACGTGTCTGCATGGAGGATGGGAAACGTGGAGATATGACTATCTCGACGTGTAACCGACAACAGAATGGAGGCTTGAGTGGAGGTAATATAAGTTGCAGGAACGTACTAGATCACATGCAAGAAGGAACGGAGGATGGCGCTCGCCGCTCAGTCCAGCAGACTTCAGATTTGCACTAGGCGTGGGGATAGGCAGCGCCCACTAGCCGATGTTCTGCTTACATAACGGTAGCGCTCAGAGATTTTGTCCGATCGAGTTATCTAAACAAACGACTCTCATCTAAGCGAGCTCAACTCGATCGAAAACGTATCTAGATTGTACTCCGACATGGATTGGAGTGGTATACGGAGGCTTGGAGGTCATAACCGTGTTCAGACAAGGGACAAAGGTGCGGTTTGAGTCTCGGAAAGACCAAAACCCTGTTGGCACGGCGTAGGTTTGGGTGAACCATTGACATGTCTTGCAGGATGTTTTGCTGCATAGGATGATCGCACTGGTCGGGAGAGGACGGAGGCAACAGGGCACTGTTGGCTGGGTCTGCCAGAGGTGTAGGAGGGATTTTTCTATGTTGCGATGCTTCTAGCTATTTATATCGTTTATACTCGTGCTTGGAAGAGCTTTCTGCGCACATGAGCGGCGAGCCATGGCGTATAGGGGAATGAGCTGGTAGGCTGGTACTATCGTTTTAGGAGTTATCGCAGCTCCTGTCCACTCAACGCCGAGCGCTTCGACAGTATGTAAGCCAGCCACCGT